GAATCTGTTACACAAAGGGAGAAAAATGGTACTGTTTAGAGATTGCCAGTCACCTCTTCCTGCATGCCTCTGAATGCTCAGATTTAACTTCAAAAACTAAGAAAAAAACGTATAGTCCATCAGATGACCAGAAACCAACACAGAGGCACAAGAAATATGAGAAACGAAGAAAATATCCCTCCCCTAAGGGAAAAGAATAACTCCTCATCCTCCACGGACAATACAAGGGAACTCATGGAAATGACAGGTAAAGAATTTAAAGTAATCATAGTGACAGAGCTAACAGAGATGCAAGAGAAGAGAGACAACAAACTCCAGAAGATGAAGGAGAACAGAAACAAGTGCCAGGAGGTGAGGAAGTTCTTGTGCGATCTAAAAGAGGAACTACACATCAAAAAAGAATCAAATGAAATTGTTAGAGATGAAGGCTGTAATACAAGAAATCAAAACCTCCCTTGAAAGGATTAAGAGCAGATTAGATCATGCAGGAAATCAAATCTCAGATATAGAAGATAGAACCTCTGACCTAGAAAAATTTACCAAAAAGACTGAGAAAATAATCCCCCAAAATGAGAATAACATGTAAGTAATATTTAATATCATTTAACACTCAAATATCCAGATCACCGGTATCCCAGAAGGTGAAGAAACTAATAAGAATATTGATCATCTACTCCACGAAATCCTAGAAAAAAACTTTCAAAACCTAAAGAGGCACTCAAGTATCTAGATACAGTAAATATAAAGGACCCCAATAGAATTAGCCCAAGATCTCCAAGGCACATCATAGCCAGATTGACCAAAACTGCAGACAGAGACAAGATACTAAACTTGGCAAGAGAGAAACATTGTTACTTTCAAAGTATATCCCATCAGGCTAATGTCGGACCTCTCATCAGAAACAATGTAAGCAATGGGAACCAGCAGTTAGAGTAGTGGCTATGTCACTGGACTCCCATGGGAACCAGCAGTTAGCGTAATGGCTATGTCACTGGACTCCCAAGTAGTCGACCATGGTTC